GCTTACAATTTTCATTGTGTGAATTCACCTCAACAGAAAGTGAAGGGAGATTATATAAGTGGCGTCAAAATTATCAGTGGATCTCGTGTGCAAATCCAAATCACCTTAGGTTGCCTATAGAGATTAAAGGAATGATAATAAAATTTCCAAAAATAAAATGAGCATGGTTCATATCCTAAACAAGATTGTCGCCTGGTTTGAGATGAATACATTGAAGGCAACTTATCTCACGTATTGAAAGATCCAATGACATCTCCCTGACCTTTGGAGAGAAGAGCTAACTGAGGTGGTCATTGATAAATTATACATTCAACAACCGTTTGCTGCCACTTAATTCACGTTTTATCGGTGTATGCTAGCAGAAGCCAATACACGGTAATTGTATATTTAAGCATTTAGCAGCCTAATCCTCTTTGCTGCCAGAAACCAGATGGTTGGGAAAAAAGGATAAACACTTCCAATGCAACTTGATGCAAATTATGACTAGGTCCAAGGGAGAAAACAATGGATAAATAGGGAAACAACGTGGCTCATGGACTTAAGAGTGTAAATCGCCTCATTAATACAGATCTAACTTGTCCGTATACCCAAAAATATCAAAACGACAGAGTAAGATGACAGCCTACAAGGATACTACCTAAAAAAAATTATACCCGGGTGAAGAATGAGACTCCCTAATTTCACATCCATGGCGAGATTACATAAAGTCAAGCCTAAAAGGAAAGATCAAGACGGCGTGACGCTCGATGTAGCCGTAGTCTCCTTCTTATTGTATATACTTGGCTTAAAACCATTTTTCCAACTTGATCTTATTGATAGAAATGCTTATAAAAACGGTCCGTGGATGAATGAACACATCACAGCATTAATAGATGGCATTAAAATGCAATGTCCCCAAAAGTTTATGAATAAACGTGGCTAAATTGCAAGAACAAGGTCAAATAGTCTTCACATTTCTACCGACAAAGCAGGTTTCGACAGTGGAACATATACAGAAAATGCACAGGTTAGAATTAACAATCATCCAAAAGTAGCATATTCAGTGGTTTGCATAATCTACTTTCCACACTGCAACCGAGTTTATTTGAATTATTGTCAGGATAATGCTTGAAAAAGACAGATGAGATGAAAGTCTAAATAATAAAAACCACCAATTTAAGCAAGACACAATGATTCACTTTGTTGGTGAATGAAATCTATAATTCTATCGAAAATATGAAGACCAAGCTGGTGTGACGTTTTGTATAGTCGCAGACTCATTTCGATGTATAGAAGTTGTTTGACCTTGTTTGTGCAACTTGGTCATATTGGTAGGAAGACTTAGAGTGACGCACCTAGTCCGGAGTTCATTGTATGCATGATCAATTCCAGTCGAACCGTGGACGTGGTACATTCCCAGACGTTTCGCCGACATCGTAGTCGGCATCGTCAGTGAGTCTCGCCATTCATAGCACCATATTATGGTGCTGTGAATGTACCCCGCCCACGGTCCGACTTTGGCAATGATCATGCATACAATGGACTCCGGACAAGCTGCGTTCCTCTAAATCTTCCTACCAATATGACCAATTATCGAAAACAAGGTCAAACAACCTCTATAATTTTATGTTTAGTCTGTAAAAATTTCTTAAAGACCTACCTGTTTGTCTTTTACGAACGGCAGCCAGTTGGAGAATATTATCAGGTAGGCTGAGGCAGCGTGTCTAGAGAACTGGATCCAAGTTCTGACGTATTCACTTCTAGTGAGCCCTTTGTTTGCCAGGTATTCAAGCACTGCATCGCAGTACTGAGATACAGTCGTGGCAAGAGCGACGCGAAGCGAGTCGGTCTTTGAGTTGCGCATGAAAGTGACACAATCTGCGAAGATGGCATCAAGTAAGGGTACGATATCTGTAGCTAAAAGGATTAAGAGATAAGGGAATTAGGATAAAGGGCAAAGCAGGAGTATGCCATAAACTTGGACGTGTAAAAGGAGGGTGATTTTCCAAGCGCTAGCGAAATAACTTAAATCTTGATAGGCAGTCTTTAGAGCCAAGAAAAAATATCAAACAAAATTTCCAGCCAACCAACTTCCCATTTAGCCAGCCTTAATCCATTTAATTTGTTTTGCAAGTACTATTGTCTATAAAAACTTTAATCTGCACAAATTGCTGAAGCAGTAATTCCAGAGCAATTTACTACGATGGTTACAGAAAGTAGTTATATACGAAAATACTCCATCTCCAATGGTACACAAGTGATCTGGCATCTCGCACAAACCAGATTTCTACTCATTAGCCTATCCGGCACCCATAATGCTGGACATTCCCTGTTGCCTTAGTAAGTATTTTGGTGGCAGATATCCAAAAGCGGCAAGAAGGTTCAACTTTGGGTTCAATGTCTTGCGCCAAGGTGGCAGGTGACAGTGCAGATACCGGTCACAGTGACTGTAATGAAAAAGACTGGGTTGTCCTTTGGTCAGGTCAGCAGTTGCATCTGTGACTAGAAACGAAGCACAAGAAAGTACGAGAACTTTCCAGTATTTCCAATTAGATAGAATTGTGTCCAACGGGTTCATTGATGTCCTGAGGATCAGTCCGATTGTAGTTAGTATGACTACAATATCTTTCATTTCGTTTGAGAAGGCAGATACCAAACGAGAGTTGCCTTGGACTTTTGTCTATTGAATAATGTGAAGATCTCGGCCTATCGTTCTATGACCCTAATCACGTATGATGGCAAGCCGATGTCTTCTTTGCAAAGTCCTTCTTCGAAATCCGACGAGGCCAATTGACAAATCCTTCCACCCGCCTTTTCAGACGAAATGAAAGGTATGCCAGTATCAAGTTACTTCAAAATGCAGCTTAGCTTCATATATTTACTTCTAGTCTGAAATCTTTAATGTGGGGAATTCTCCATAATAATGGAAGAATAGGGCGAGGAATGTGATTCAAAAAATGATTGGAGTATCTTGGCGAAAACCCTAACTAGGAGGCTGGTAGTCAACCTCGTCAGAGGGAGTCAGAACAAATGTGGAGTCGAAACCCATTAAGCTCGGTTTGAAGTCAAGTAAAGCGCATTCTGCTACTAAGATAATCCATATATGTAAACAGATTATAAATCAATTTATGAGAGGCGTCCAATCCATCAAACTTTCATTGACAATAGAAAAGAAACTGAGTCGGTAACTTGAAGGGCTTGCGTTAATTAAGCATTTTTCCCTCAATAGCAAATCTATTAGTATAAGGTCTTATATGATCGTATTTATGATCATTCCAATATTCGATCGGTATAAATCTAGACTTAAGACAAGATAACTTTAGTGAGTGTTCTTTATGAACAAGCTTCCGTTGAGGTTCTTGCTTGAGTGAAAAACCTCTGCATCCAAGAGCGGTAGTATAGTGTCACTAAGTTTCAATCTCCTCCATGAACTAAATATCTGAGCAAAGACTTATTGAATGATTATACACACCGAACATTATTTAATCTAAATGATAGACAAATCATGCCTAGAAGTCCAACAAATGTGATTGGAAGGTGGAGAGAAAAGAAGATAAAAAAATGATCCTTAGCAGAGATTCAGTGGAAATAGTTAAGGCTCTCTAAGGTAGAATATAATGAAGTTTCTAAAATTAAAAGTACGTGAAGTGCACGCAATATCC